TCGATCTATTCTTAAAAATTAAGCCGTACCCTAGCTTTAAGTTTTATGAGTAAGAAATTCCTTCAGACTCCTAAATTGATCTATGCACATAAAGAATCATGCTATCTGTTTATAAAATAGCAAGAGCCCTTCTTTCTACCGGTAGCTCCCCCTATTACCGTAATTCCTGTGCAGTGAGAGGAGTATAATTTCATTCATTTTTTTCAGGAAAGATAAAAAGCCTTCTTACTCATTAATTTTCTTTCATTCACAAGGCATCATTCTAGCTCCAAGTTGCCTCTTGAATTAATTAATGGCAGAAAGCTGCTAGCAGGTGCTTTTTGACATTCTCCCAAGGCATGGGCCTATTGTAAATTAGATAGCATTCAAGCCAGCTAATTCTATCCTAGATTTGAAGGTCAAGTTTCAGATTCTGATAAAACCAAATATTATGGGTTAAGTCAATGGCACCTAATACTGTTTAAAATATGAAGGAGTCTTCAAAGTCACTGGTACCTCAAAGTGGAACTTTAAAAGTTAGATTTTCTTCCTTTAGAGACAAGTGGCTTCTCCCAGTGTTCTCAGGCCGAAGGCATGAAGAGCCAGCCCCACCTCTCCTCAGCCTGGAAGGACAGAATGTGTGGATGCCAATTTCATTTCCTTAGGCAAGGGAGGGGGAGGTCCTGGTCAAGGGAAGGGTGGAACCCGTCTGGCCGTGTCTATGCCCTCTCTGTACTCCCTGCCCCATGTTCTTGGCTGAAGAAGACCCTAACACACTCGTACACAGCGAGAGTGTGATTTTAGGCCCATGTTCCTTTCCACCTTCTGGTCACTAGCTCTGAATAAATCCTCTTCCCCTTTTACCAAAATCAGTGGCCTCCTTTGATTTCATCAGCAGCAAGTGAAGGAGCCTGAGCACATGAACCTAAGTGGTCAGTAACACACAGCAGGTGAGAAAGAAAAGACGACAGAAGGTATCTAAACCGCTGGTATGCAATAAACCCTCAATAAGGACAAATATTGTCACTAATCTTCCAGTTGGCTGGGGAGGATATTTATCTTATGTCCATAAGTACTGCTATCCTCTTTGAAGGCAAATCTGGGCAAAGTGTATCATAGCACTGGCAGATTTGCCTGCAGAGTTTTTAAAAAATTACTAGGCCAATGAGAATAAAAATTTATTATATGGGTTCATCATTTTGAATTATTATGGTGAAACTGCAACAAAACACAATGCTTACTAAGAATTTATGTAGTGGCACATCAAATGACCTTTGGAACATTATGCCTTGCTTTTGACTTTGCTAGTGGCCAGGGGTCAGAAATTGTAATATATGGCACTTTAAAAAATGTAATTCAGTAGTCGCTGAAGGCCTTGGGTTCTAACTTGTACCGCTGAAGGCAAAAGTATATTAGGAAGCAAAGTAAGGGCTTCTTATATGTCTCTTACGTTAGTTGAGCAATTGCTATATATTTCAGAAGCACAAGTTCTGGACAGCCTAGGGGTTTTTGATTTTGCGTTTTTGTGTTTTGTGCTTAGGAGACAAGGGGTGAAAGTGCAGAGGGTAACGTTTATTTTAGGTAAGCACTGTAAGTGGTTAATTCCTCAAATTTTCACTGCATTTACCACAGGTACACTCAGAACCAAGACATTTTTCCAATCCGCCTGGCGAAGGTGCCCCTCACCGCCCCCCCACGATTAGGGGAGGCTTGCCCTGACTCAGCCTCACTCTGGGAAACTGCTTCCCTGTTCTACACAGTCTTCCAGGTGGAGGACGGAAGAGGGCTACTGCGGCGTGGATACGGGCGCCGCTCCCCGCCCGCCCGCGTGCGGCCCGTACCCGGGAACCTCCTCCCAACCCTCC